TAAGAAATATATAAATATTAGGACGAGCAACGTCTGAGTGGCATTGACTAAAATACAGTAGAGTACAGAATATACATATGAAATGAGTAAAACAGTATGTAAACATTAGATTGAATATGTCTGTAAACACTCCAGCCAGCTGGTCTGCGCTTGCACTGAGGACGCGGCTAGGGATACCGTCTGGACTGGCAGCCTTGCGAGGGTTAACACGCTTAAATGTCTTACTCACATCGGCCACAGAGAACGAGAGCCCACAGTCCTTGGGAGCGGACCGCATCGGTGACACTGTGTTATCCTCAAAGTGGGCGAAGAAGGTGTTTAGCTTGTCCGGGAGCAAGACGTTGGTGTCCGCGACCTGGCTGGTTTTCCCTTTGTAATCTGTGATTGTCTGTAGACCCTGCCACATAGGTCTCGTGTCTGAGCCGTTGAATTGCGACTCCACTTTGTCTCTGTACTGACGTTTTGCCTGTTTGATTGCCTTCCGGAGGGAATAATTACACTCTTTGCATTCAACCATATTCCCAGTCACCTTGCCTTGGTTAAATGCGGTGGTACGCGCTTTCAGTTTTGCGCGAATGCTGCCATCTATCCACGGTTTTTGGTTTGGGTAGGTTTTAATAGTCACAGTGGGAACAACATCCCCTATACACTTCCTGATGAACTCCGTCACCGTGTCCGTGTATACGTCAATGTCTCAGAGGCAACCCGGAACATATCCCAGTCCGCGTGATCAAAACAATCTTGAAGCATGGATTCTGATTGGTCTGACCAGCGTTGAATAGACCTTAGCACGGGTACTTCCTGTTTGAGTTTCTGCCTATAGGAAGGGAGGAGCAGAATGGAGTCGTAAATCAATTTGCCGAAGGGAGGACGGGGGAGACCCTTGTAGCCATCCCGGAAGGGAGAGTAACAATGGTTGAGAGTTTGTGTAGCACGAGTACTACAGGCAATGTGTTTACATTTACATTTACGTCATTTAGCAGACGCTCTTATCCTGTTGATAGAACTTCGGTAGCGTTTTCCTCAAATTTGCTTTGTTAAAATCCCCAGCTACAATAAATGCGGCCTCAGGATATGTGGCTTCCAGTTTGCACAAAGTCCAGTGTAGTTCCTTGAGGGCCGTCGTGGTATCGGCTTGAGGGGGAATATACACGGCTGTGACTATAACCGAAGAGATTTATCTTGGGAGGTAATACGGTCGACATTTGATTGTGAGATATTCTAGGTCGGGTGAACAAAAGCACTTGAGTTCCTGTACGTTATCACAATCTCACCATGAGTAGTTAATCATGAAACATACACCACCGCCTTTCTTCCTCCCGGAGAGTTCTTTATTCCTGTCTGCGCGATGTACTGAGAACCCAGCTGGCTGTAAGGACAGGGACAGTATATCCGGAGAGAGCCATGATTCCGTGAAACAGAATATGTTACAGTCCCTGATGTCTCTCTGGAAGGATATCCTCGCCCTGAGCTCGTCTAGTTATTGTCCAAGGACTGAACATTACAGAGTAAAATACTCGGAAGCGGTGGATGGTGTGCACGCCTCCTGAGTCGGACTAGAAGTCCACTCCGAATACCTCTTCTCCGCCGGCGGTGTCTTGGAGCAGCGTCTGGGATAAGTTACATTGCCCTGGGGGGTTCGAATAAAGGATCCAATTCGGGAAAGTCGTATTTCTGGTCGTAATCCTGGTGAGTTACCACTGCTCTGATATCAAAAAGTTATTTCCGGCTGTATGTAATAACACAAAAAACGTTCTGGGCTAATAATGTAAGAAATAAAAATGCGAAGTTGCTTAGGAGCTAGAAGCAGAGCTGCCATGTCTGTCGGCACCATCTTCAGCTAGATGCAGCTAGTATTGAATGTGTCACTGTCTGTCACCTTAATTACTCCAAATTCTCTCGACCTGTGCACCTACGTTGCAAACTTTCATTCATAGGCTAGGTTGTAGCAACCTCATGATGGGTACGGGGAAAAATCCAGTATCATGGAGTAGCCTGAGTGGCGCAGTGGTCTAAGGCACTGCATCGCAGTGCTAACTGTGCCACTAGAGATCCTGGTTCGAATCCAGGCTCTGTCGCAGCCGGCCGCGACCGGGAGACTCATGGGCGGCGCACAATTGGCCCAGCGTCGTCCAGGGTAGGGGAGGGAAAGGCCGGCAGGGATGTAGCTCAGTTGATAGAGCATGGCGTTTGCAACGCCAGGGTTGTGGGTTCGATTCCCATGGGGGGCCAGTATAAAAAATACAATTAAAATAATAATAATAATATGTATTCACTAACTGTAAGTCGCTCTGGATAAGAGCGTCTGCTAAATGACAAAAATGTAAATGTAAATGTAGCCTAAACCCATCGATGTTACATTGAGCTGGGTGAATGGAATATGAATGACAGTCATCTAAAATGCTGTAATAGAAGCAGGAGAAATAGAAATAAAGCCATGTTCATAATAAAACAAAGATCCTCATCTTAAAACGGCACAGACCGTCAGTGATGTTTAGAGTGAATGGAATGTAATCACAGGCATGATCAAAAAGTGGTCACTGCTCAATAGAACACTGTGGCGCTGCTTCGAATGTCAACTGACAAGCTAACTAGTGGCTGCAGGTTCGTGAGTGAAAACATGGCCTTTTTCTAAAAGAAATCCGCTGAATACAAAACAAAATCTGGACTAAATATATATATTTCTTTACAAAGCTAAACAGATAATTTCAATATCCACCCTCTGCAAAAACAATCTGTTCCTGTTTTCATTGTGTATTTCTGCCTTTAAATCGCCACAGAAATGGCCCCTCTCAACGTAGATTGATCGCCAATATAGCCAATGAAAGCCAAGGGTCTGAAGATGAAAATGATGAGGGTATCAAGTTGATTTTGATTGGTCCAACCCGCGGAAACACCTCAAAATGGTACCACCTCACAATACCAAATATGGAAGCGATACAACCAAGAGCAGCGAGGTCTAAACTAGCAACGGTCACAGCAAATGAACAATCTTATTTCATCAACACAGTCAAGTACAAGTATATTAAGGTTATAATATATTAGAGAACAATCTAATGATTAATTCTGTGATTTATAATGACATACAGTGCCTTGCAAAAGTATTCATCCCCCTTGGCGTTTTTCCTATTTTGTTGCATTACAACCTGTCATTTAAATGGATTTTTATTTGGATTTCATGAAATGGACATACACAAAATAGTCCAAATTGGTGAAGTGAAATGAAAAAAATTAGTTGTTAAAAAAAAGTATAAAAAATAAATAACAGAAAAGTGGTGCAAGGAGGGCATTAATCAGAGGCAACAAAGATACCAAATATAACCCTGAAGGAGCTGCAAAGCTCCACAGCGGAGAATGGAGCATCTGTCCATAGGACCACTTTAAGCAGTACACTCCACAGAGCTCGGCTTTACAGAAGAGTGGCCAGAAAAAAGCCATTGCTTAAAGAAAAAAATTAAGCAAACACGTTTGGTGTTCGCCAAAAGGCATGTGGGAGACTCCCCAAACATATGGAAGAAGGTACTCTGGTCAGATGAGACTAAAATTGAGCTTTTTGGCCATCAAGGAAAAGGCTATGTCTGGCGCAAACCCAACACCTCTCATCACCCCGAGTACACCATCCCCAAAGTGAAGCATGGTGGTGGCAGCATCATGCTGTGGGGATGTTTTTCCCATCGGCAGGGACTGGGAAACTGGTCAAAATTGAAGGAATGACGGATGGCGCTAAATACAGGGACATTCTTGAGGGAAACCTGTTTCAGTCTTCCAGAGATTTGAGACTGGGACGGAGGTTCACCTTCCAGCAGGACAATGACCCTAAGCATACTGCTAAAGCAACACTCGAGTGGTTTAAGGGGAAACATTTAAATGTCTTGGAATGGCCTAGTCAAAGCCCAGACCTCAATCCAATTGAGAATCTGTGGTATGACTTAAAGATTGCTGTACACCAGCGGAACCCATCCAACTTGAAGGAGCTGGAGTAGTTTTTCCTTGAAGAATGGCAAAAATCCCAGTGTCTAGATGTGCCAAGCTTATAGAGACATACCCCAAGAGACTTGCAGCTGTAATTGCTGGAAAAGGTGGCTCTACAAAGTATTGACTTTGGGGGGGTGAATAGTTATGCACGCTCAAGTTCTGTTTTTTTGTCTTATTTCTTGTTTGTTTCACAAAAAAAATGTTTTGCATCTTCAAAGTGGTAGGCATGTTGGGTAAATCAAATGATACAAACCCCCCAAAAATCTAATTTAATTCCAGGATGTAAGGCAGAAAATAAGAAAAATGCCAAGGGGGGGTGAATACTTTCGCAACCCACTGTAGGGCAAAGAAAACTGTACTTTGACATTAATTTCGTAGCACCCTCTTGAATTGCCCAGTTTTTTTTCGACATTCTCGAGCAGTGAGTGAACGCCCTATATAGTAGAGAGAAACCAGTCATAATCTCTCAGTATGCCAACTCACCCAGATGTCTGCCTTTGTAGTGATGACCATGCCATTATAGAGGTTGATCATCTCTGGGGCTCGGTATGACAGAGTAGTGTACCTTAAGACATGGGAAGGAAGGGAGCACACTAATTTAGGAAGGACTTCAAGCACAGATACATGTCCTCAACAGGGTTCACTTGGCACAGTTAATCCACAACATCCCAACCTGTTGTACTTGTTGGTTCACTAGACTAAAACTATCAAACCACTCTCATGAGTTCAGTATTCCAGTTGTGGTGAAGCTCTTCAGAATCACTCACTTCTTGATTTCCTCCTCCACCAGTGGAACGCCCTCTGTCTGAGGGTTCTGGAAGCGGTTGGTGGCACTGCCAAAGTCACACAGCACATAGTGCCCCCGGTCATGGAGCAGGATATTCTCCACCTGCAGAGGAGATAGACACACAGATGACTCCTGAGACGATCTTTGAATAGTGTTTAACATACTTATACACTTCATGGCTCACTTCTCATGCTGTGACACAGATATGCAGCTAGGATATGTATTAAAGACAAACAGATTAAAAGGCCATGATAATGCCAATGAGGCCATTAAAGTGTGAGTAAGGTGCGGACTCTGAGGGTCTGTGTGTGAAGAAAAGTGCTCGTGCCTTGAGATCTCGATGGATGATTGGCGTCTTGCACTGGTGGAGGCGGGCCACGGCCTCGCAGGTGTCACAGAAGACCTGCAGCACCTCTGCCTCAGTGAAGCCTGTCTGCAGACGCTGGTTCATCAGGTTCACCACCTGACCACCTGCAACAAACCAGGAAGGACTTACAATGGGTTTGGAAACAAGGAGATATGTACACTAATGAAACCACTAAAGTGATTGAGAAGGAAAGAGGGGCAGAATTACCACGACAGAAGTCCATGAGGATGAGGACCTCCCAGACATCTCCTGCTCCCACTGCAGTTATACTGGAGTCCAGGAAACCCACAATGTTCCGGTGGCCCACGAGGTCCCTCTGAACACACACACACACAAAATTGGTTAATATTTCAGAGAATATAAAGAACCGCATACATCTCTGGTTGGCTTTCAAGTTCCAAACACGCTGCCCTAACAATGGTGATCTTTGTTTGTTTTTTGGATTGACTGAGAGTGTACTATTCTGCTCTAGCTTACTGACTATGAGGATCTGCCAAAAGGCTGGACGTAATAATGATAGCCATCCTGTACCAATTATGCACCCTGGGGTGTGGCTGCAGGGGCTGGTTATCTTACAGCATGGCAATGGTTAGGCAATGGAGGCCTAACTGGAGGCTGCATACAGTGAGGGAAAAAAGTATTTGAATACTATTTGAAAAAAGTATTTGATCCCCTGCTGATTTTGTACGTTTGCCCACTGACAAAGACATGATCAGTCTATAATTTTAATGGTAGGTTTATTTGAACAGTGAGAGACAGAACAACAACAACAAAATCCAGAAAAATGTCAAAAATGTTATCAATTGATTTGCATTTTAATGAGGGAAATAAGTATTTGACCCCTCTGCAAAACATGACTTAGTACTTGGTGGCAAAACCCTTGTTGGCAATCACAGAGGTCAGACGTTTCTTGTAGTTGGCCACCAGGTTTGCACACATCTCAGGAGGGATTTTGTCCCACTCCTCTTTGCAGATCTTCTCCAAGTCATTAATGTTTCGAGGCTGACGTTTGGCAACTCGAACGTTCAGCTCCCTCCACAGATTTTCTATGGGATTAAGGTCTGGAGACTGGCTAGGCCACTACAGGACCTTAATGTACTTCTTCTTGAGCCACTCCTTTGTTGCCTTGGCCGTGTGTTTTGGGTCATTGTCATGCTGGAATACCCATCCACGACCCATTTTCAATGCCCTGGCTGAGGGAAGGAGGTTCTCACCCAAGATTTGACGGTACATGGCCCCGTTCCATCGTCCCTTTGATGCGGTGAAGTTGTCCTGTCCCCTTAGCAGAAAAACACCCCCAAAGCATAATGTTTCCACCTCCATGTTTGATGGTGGGGATGGTGTTCTTGGGGTCATAGGCAGCATTCCTCCTCCTCCAAACACGGCGAGTTGAGTTGATGCCAAAGAGCTCAATTTTTGTCTCATCTGACCACAACACTTTCACCCAGTTCTCCTCTGAATCAGTCAGATGTTCATTGGCAAACTTCAGACGGCCCTGTATATGTGCTTTCTTGAGCAGGGGGACCTTGCGGGCGCTGCAGGATTGTGTTACCAATTGTTTTCTTGGTGACTATGGTCCCAGCTGCCTTGAGATCATTGACAAGATCCTCCCGTGTAGTTCTGGGCTGATTCCTCACCGTTATCATGATCATTGCAACTCCACGAGGTGAGCTCTTGCATGGAGCCCCAGGCCGAGGGAGATTGACAGTTCTTTTGTGTTTGGTGGAGAGTTTGGAATATGATTGATTGCTTGCTTCTGTGTACAGGTGTCTTTTATACAGGTAACAAGCTGAGATTAGGAGCACTCCCTTCAAGAGTGTGCTCCTAATCTCAGCTCGTTACCTGTATAAAAGACACCTGGGAGCCAGAAATCTTTCTGATTGAGAGGGGGTCAAATACTTATTTCCCTCATTAAAATGCAAATCAATTTATAACATTTTTGACATGCGTTTTTCTGGAGTTTTTTGTTGTTATTCTGTCTCTCACTGTTCAAATAAACCTACCATTAAAATTATAGACTGATCATTTCTTTGTCAGTGGGCAAACGTACAAAATCAGCAGGGGATCAAATACTTTTTTCCCCTCACTGTAAATGCCAACTCAACATATTCAGCAGCAGGCTCCAACTGGGCTAAGAGTTGTAGAACAACTCTTACTACCCACCCTCCTGCTCCCTCCCTCCCTCCATCCATCTCCTCTCTGTATATGTTTAAGTTAGTCAGTTGGAAAAGCGTTCCAGGTGAAGCTGGTTGAGAGAATGCCAAGCGTGTGCAAAGCTGTCATCAAGGCAAAGGGTGGCTATTTGAAGAATGTCAAATATAAAATATATTTTGATTTGTTTAACACTTTTTTGGTTACTACATGATTCCATATGTGTTATTTCATAGTTTTGATGTCTTCACTATTATTCTACAATGTAGAAAGCAGTAAAAATAAAGAAAACCCCTTGAATGAGTAGGTGTTCTAAAACTTTTGACAGGTAGTGTAGCTATTAGCTAGGTCTGCATTATACGTTGGACTGAGTGACAGACTAAGCAGAGCTCCAGCCCAGAGCCTGTTCTCACCATGATCTGGATCTCCAGCTTGCAGATCTGCAGGTCGTGCTCGTTGTTGACGTACATCCTCTTCAGAGCACAGCGCACCCCCTGGTTGGTCCGCACCAGGAACACAATGGCAAAGCCTCCTAGAGAGGGAGGGAGGGAGGGAGGGCGCAAGAATGAATGAAGAGGATCCTTAAATTTCAGCATTGAAAGCATTGACCTGTGACTGACTAGCACAGGACACCACTGAAGCCAGCTGCAATGTCAGCTAACATAACAGGAATGGAATATAATAAAAACAACAGGAAAATGGCTAAATATGGAGCGACAAATATTCGCTTCGTGACACTGGTTCCCCCTTAAGCCAAATGGCTAAACGATGAGCTTTGACCTTCACAAATGTCAGTGACAGTGACTGAATCAGCCCACAGTCATGGCCAGTCAGCCTCCTCCAGTCTCTGCTCAGCCTCACTGAATGAGTCAAAGCTGCTGATGCTGCTGAGTGGCTGACTGTGAGCAGAGCAGAGCGGGCATCCTCCAGTCTGTCCATTACCTCATCATGACATCAGCACACCACACAACCCTGTCAACGTGCCCTCTCCCTCTCTCACACACTCATAAACACACACTGTATGACCCTGGATAAACAGTGGGGGTGGCAAAGTTAGCTGGGAAGATATGTTATGAAATGTTTGTTCAGTCAGAGGGAGCTGTGATAAAGGACGGCTCAAAATAGCATTGGGTGAGTCAGCAGTAGAGCCGAGACAGAGAAAGACTGCAGGTATTGGTGCAGAAGCACTGTGACTGGAGACAGTGAAGAGTGCGAGAGTCCATCATCCGGCTATTACAGGAACATTGTACTAACAACTGGCAAGGCTCCAAAACAGCTCTTAGGTCTGTCTCTCCATACCTCTCCTTCTCGCCTGCTAATTCAGACACACAAAACCACTAGTGATTGTGTATGTGGCTGGCTGTGCACACTATTTGTTTCTAGTGACCCAGGAGGCAGTGCTGGCTTGCTTTGATCCATGGGTGGTACAACACTGGGCTCTTTCATCTACACACCATTCATACACAGCGAGGGGGCTGGCCTTTACCTCCATAAAGAATAATTCCATCACATGAGCAGGGTTCAGCAGAAGCACCGTCTGGAACTAAACATACTGTGCATGTATCTCAGCTAGACTTTTATCTCACATTGTTCAAAGAAGTAACAGTAGTGGATTTATGTCGGTGATGCAGAGATGGTGTTTTGAATGATTGGTGGTTCTACAGTGTTGTAGCATCACAGCGCTGTAAGGTGTGAGTAGCATGTGTCTGTGATTAATAATTATAGGCTAGTAGTAGGTGAGCTAATGCTCTGAGGGGTTGGTTGAGAGCTCTGCTGTGCTGCTGCATTGACATGCACTATGCTAAATAAACACCTCCAGGATCAGAGCAGAAACAGATATGGGCCAGGACCAAGTTTCACTAATCTGAATAAGAGATTGACTTCCTATTGGTGCTTCTCTCTGCTGCATGCATGCACACACAAGCACCATCTACACACAGACACTTTCCAGTGCAGGTGGTTTGGTACTGCAGTGGCAGTGCCATTCCAGCACCTCACCCTAAACCACAGAAACAAGGCTTGTCTGTCTTCTTGAATCTTGTAGCTTATTTTTTAGAGGGGCCTGCATGCTCTGGGAAGAATCAATACAAACTGGGAGGTGGCTGTACATGTGAATGCAGAAGATAAGGCACTACAGAGCACCTGCAGCCTGTACAACAAATGAGGTCTAAATCAAGCCTTTGAGAGCATTAGGCTACTGGATAACTGCTTCCTTGTCTATTTTTCACTGCTGGCACAGCTAGGCCTAAAGCATTTCAACCCTGCAGCGCACTCACTAGGACAAACACACAGTCAGTCCTATTAGAGGAGCCTGCTGCTGCTGCTCAGAGGCCTGTGGGTAGCAGCCCTGTGCTCTCCCAGCATGCTGTCTGTAACTGCCTGCGCTGAGCCATGCCCTGGGCTGAGTCATCCAGCCTGCCTCACATCACTAAGCCAAGGACAGCTCCCTCCACGTGATCTGTCTGTTTGGGGTTTGATCATCAGACGCTTTGCACCACAGCCTTCAGTTCCATAGGAGCTACTGCTGTCCAATGAGGATCAGTTTGAATAAGCAGTGTGGCCTAAACACTCAGTAGAATGGTAAATGTACGACCAGTGGTGGGCCAAGCTAAATCTAAATTAACATCAACTCAAACACATTCATGTGTTCAAATGTATGCAAAATAGAGTGTATCCAGCAAAGCCTGCCTTGTCCCTGTTTCAAAGTTTATATCAGAATACCTTGTGAGGGCAAGCACACAAACATGTAGACCTACACACAACATGGAGTGTGTGTGGGTGGTCCTGTCTGAGCTGACGTAGGGTTTGCCCTGCCAAGCCCCTGCTATTTTGCGCCGTCTAATCTCGGGCGCCTGCGTGAAATTAGAGGGATTAGCCACCTTCTTAAGTAACATGCAGCAAATTGACTTTCACCATACTGGACAGGCCAACAACAAGAGCTATAAACATGCCCCCTTAACACTGATGACAGCCAGTATAATACCCTGCTGTCCACTCAACCAAACACGCACAAATATAAAAACGTATCCATAAGTGTTTTGGCATACAGTTCAGTAAACAATGTTTGTCGTCACTGAAATGGAGCTTGCGTAACAGCATGTAGCAAACTATAAATAAACATGACTACTACATTGTTTACAATGCTCACTGAGGTGTCTGCATTAT